GCACGGCCAGCACAGACGATGGACCACGAGACCGGGACGTAGAGGCCGAGATTCGTGAAGCCGCTGGCAAAGCTGCGTCGCAAGCTGCCCAGCCCGCAGGGGCGGGAGGCCAACAGGGACGAAATGAAAGCGGTACGGGCACCGGCAGCCAAACGACCGTCAAGGGTGTAAGCGAGAAACACTCGAAAAAGTCAAGTTTCCTAGGCGGTTTCGTCAACAAGAAGCCCTCGATATCGGCGCGTGGTGAGGGCCGTTCTGAAGGTAATCCTTCTTCTGGAAACGACGGCGACGATCAACGTGGGCATGTCAGAAACAGCATGGCAGTCGACCCGGCACAACTGGCTCCTCCACCTGGCGCAAACGAGGGCCGGATCAGATTTGCGGCTTTCGTGGCGGTCGAGGTCAGAGGGAAGGGACCGACATCTGGTACATCAGGAGGTGGAGGGAACAATGGAAAAGAGCCTGGATCCGCGGGTGCAGCAGGATCGACCCCGCAATCTGCAGTGAATGTTCTATTCAAGGCACCAGTCTACGAATTCTAAGGTTTCTCTGTGAGCCCAGTACGGAACGTGGGAGACCGGGTAGGAGGAACTGTGGACGGTGAAGGGAAAGGGGAAGGGGAAGGGGAAGGGAAACGGGATGAGGAGCTGGAGCGAACACAGAGACACCCCTTTCATTTTTTTGGTTGTACTCGCAATTTTTTTCTCGTTTCCATCTTGGACTATGTAGCGTCGCCATTTCTCATACAATTTTGTTGACAAGTAGTTGAGCGAAAAAAGATCAGAGGACGATGTGTGGGATGATATATGGGCATATGGGCACTAAAAATCTATTTTCATGGTAGGCAGCGTGGCAGCCACGCGCAGGATCTTTCCAGGGATGTAACTCGTCATTCATTCGCTTAGGCCGAGTCAGAGGTGCCTAGACAAAAGGCCACGAGTAATTGAGCAAGTGGCAAACCCCTGGACAGTTGCACCATTACCAAGTACTGCCACCACAGTGACTACCATTATTACCCTTGGAGTTGGGCACCGTTTACACCACTTCCCAGCCCATCATTAATAGCCATTAATGAACCTGACCCTTTTCCATCATTGCCTGATTCATGGCGGGGTCGAGGCAGCAAAAAATCCTTGTGTGATCAAAAGGGTGATTTTTCCACTCCCACCTTGTGTAGTGACCGGGCGCACACACACCCCCGTGCGGTTCCCCAGACTCTCTCGCTCTCTCACCCTTCGGTCAAACTAGTTAATAGCATGCATGTCCATTGCTCTTCCACCCCCAGCATCGACCTCAATTGCCTTTACAGTACGCTAGAGGCAAACTTCCCCGTTGTCCTTCCCTTTTTTTCACTTATACTTTTTCTTTTTCTCGCATAATACCATAAGATGACTTCCTAACGAGTCCTTGTCCACTTTCTCTTTGTCCTACGGGGTCCGATTCCCGCCAGGTCTCTATGCCAGCGTCAACGAATAAGATCGAGGATCCATGTCAGGAATGTCGTGGTATGTCCCCATTCTGTTCCCGAGATGCGGGCTGGCTTGTTGACTGATGGCTGTCCCCAAGACCGCCATCTCAAATGTAAGTTCCGCTACTGACAGTCCGCCTGCGTCTGTCTTCACATCTCGCCGCGCCGTCTGCTCCGACTCCAGCTACTTGCGCTGCTCCTGCTCATCGCCTTCTCCATCCTGCGCATGGCTGTTCTGCACGATGGCTTCCTGACGTGCCACAAGAACCACCTTTTCTCACCGCCATGACCATCCCCAGCCCGACCCCTCCTTCAGGTGGACGGTACCTCTGCCGTGAACCAGGCTGACAACCCCAGGCGACGACAACTATCCAAAGTGCAAACAATGTGAACGACTTGGAGAGAGATGCCGGCGCGGGAAGGGCAAGCTCAAATTCCGGGTCGGCTCCAGCGCAAGATATGATGCCTCCTTTTCCAAAGATCAAACATGGCTCGAGCAGACCAAGAATGGTAAGTCTGTGTAACCAGCGCCGCAAATTTTTCTCTCACCTCAGGGAACTGGCGCCTGAGAAAGAGGGGTCTTGTCAAAAGCCGTACTGCTGCCATGTCTAATCACGCACAATACCATCACCAAGCTGTTCATGTCACACTGCTCGAGGGCTTTGCTGGCAGAAGCTACTGATGCTGTGTCCCCATTCATGCCACTCAGGGCCGGCCACCCACTGCTGGCTGGTCCTATCACCTCGCATGCTGACCATGCCTCTTAACAGCCAAGTTCCAATTCGTCGACCAAGGCCCGGAGTTGGAAAACTACTACTCCCAGGACGATCTCCTGGTGACGAGCACCAAAGCAAATGCTCAAGATGAGAGACAGGAAACTGCCTCTAGGCCACCCAAGCGTCTCGAGTCATCGATTGACACCGAGCTGTCGCCAACAGTGCGCAGCGCTGTCTCTACCGATCTGCCAGCTTTCTTAGTGCCTTTCAATCCCCACCATGAGTCAGTCTTGGTTCATTCTCCCATCAAACGGAGAAGGACAGCGGACACGATTCCCCCAGATTATCTGACCCACCCAAACCGATCGACCTACACCGCGTACGACCCCATTCGGTCTCAGTATCGAATTTACGACTCTCCAAAGGTCTATGGCCCTACCAGCCCGGACGGGTTTGCGTATATGCCCGAACAACATCAGGTCCCCAAAGTAGTAGAGGCCGAGTACCAACGCCTGGCAGACTCGGCCGCTGCCACTATCCCAGATGACTCACTACTATCTCCAGCCATCTGGAAAGAAGAGTTCTTCTGGCCGAACCAATACACCACCACTCAATGTGCCTGTTTGATGCGATACTATATTGAACATCTCGCGCCCTGGGTAGGTGATGTAACTCCAACCTGAATGTCTGTTGGCAGAGCTGATCAAACGAGTTCGACGTGGGAGATCCAGCGAGACATTTCACGCTGGCCGTTCCTCAACGCGCCAGACGATGCCCTCCACTACTCAATGCCATTTTCACCCTGGCAGCAAGACACCTTGCTTCCATCCCTCAGTTCAAGACGTCAGACGATATGATCGAGTATCAAAACATACTCCTTCCCAAATTGACCGAGGAGACTGCCGTCAAATATCATAATGCATGTATTGCGTACCTCATCAAACTATCTAGCGACTCGGAGCACGTTCGAGACGAAAACTTACTTGCGGCCGCCGTCATCCTGCGCTATTATGAAGAGATTGATCCGTCGCTTACCAATGAAGATAGCAAGACTCTGATCCACACCTTTACACTATTTGCAAACGCTCAGGCGAGTCCTTATGCTTTTATGATGGACGTTGACAAACATCCCGAGTATCTCAGACCAGGGTCTTCTATCGGGCTATTTGAAAACGCCCTTGCTTATCTGGAGAGCTTTCAACATGCTTCATTTCGAGTTGCTCTGCGTCAAGAGTTGACCATTGCCTTCTTGAGGCAGAGACCTGTTCGACTGCCCCTGGAAACCTGGACCATCCTGCAGGGGTTTGACAAAGCAGAGGACTTTATCTGGTCCGATCGACACCTTTACCATTGTGCCAAAGTCCTACAATTCTGCTTTGGTGCCGACAGCGGCACGGGCAAGACTCAGATCGAACGATGGAATGAGCTCCGCGACTTTGAGATGCAATGGGACCAATACAAGCCTTTGTCATTCGCGCCTATCCACCATCAGCCGCCTGATCGCCAAAAGGGAAAATGTCTCCCACAGATTTGGTACATGGCCGAGGTCCACGCCACGGGGTTGTTGGCTCTAGACCTGGCCCGAATTCTGTTGACGGTGTACAATCCAAATATACCGCGAATCGGCCCTGGGGCCACAGCTCATCAAAAGAGAATTACGGATGAGGTGCATGACATAGTGATTCGACTCTGTGGGACTGCCATGTCTCTGGGAGGGACGACGGCATCAAATGCTTCCTCGCAGCCTGCGATGGTACAGGCGTACATGGCGGTGGTTGTTTGTGGGGAGTACTTTTCGGATCCCCTGGAACAACAGGCGCTGATGGGTATTTTGGACAGGTTGAAGGATGAACACGGTTGGCCCACCGACAAAACTGCTATGCAATTGAAAAGGGAATGGGGATGGATCTGATGGGTCTGGATGGTGTTTTCTGTACCGGGGTGCTTTGTTTGTTTGTCTCGGGCAGCATTTGAACATTTTGTGTAAAGGAAAATATCTACTTGTCCGAGGTTCGAAGCAAGGACTGTATGGGAAATTATGGGATGGACGAAAGCGTATGATATATGCACGGACTATGAGGTACCTAAAAGATCAATGGGAATTTTGGGAGGGAAAGGACAAGGAACAGGAATGGAACAAGCAAGGATAGGCTCTACGTGATGAGAATTGAGACCTTCTTCCACTTACAAATACACCGAAAGGGCCGACCTGGAGAAGACGGTTGGGCGTATGATTACCGATCACCAGGTGAAAGCATGAACTTGTGGAGCAGAAGCAGCAGAACCGACAAGTAGTTGCTCGTATTAGCCTCACTTAGTCCAATGGCTGAGACGCCCAATTGGCCCAGTCGGTCAACGACGGTATCAAGACATTGACTTGAAAATGCCGTCATCGAAAGGTCCAGATACCCAGCGAGCCAGACTGCGATCCCTTCTATACTGCCACCAGTGACACACTGCCAGCTGCGTACAAGCTGCCCCTCTCCTCAGAACCCCTCCTCTCTCCATCTCCATCCTCCATCGACGTGCCCGCGACTCATTACTAATTGATGGTGAGAGGGAGACAGACGTTGACACAGGGCCATTGCGCCATCCACTCTTTCAATTAATTCAAAGTCGGGTCTCTCCCCTGATGACTTTTTTTCCTTTCCTCCTTCTTCTTTCCATGCCTGAGGACCTCCCTCGGATTCTGTTACCCTAAAATCTGCTTCCCAGCTACCGGCTAGCTAGTTATTTCTGTCCCTACATAAACAAACCTCTCTTTACTTCTCTACCTCGCTAGTCCAGGTGAGACCTCTAACGGATCCTCCCTCAAAATGTCCAGCGACCTCTATATTGCGGATACACCCGCCGAGGTGTCCCAGGCCAAGGGCCTGCACCTCATCACCCAAAACACCCCCAATGGGCAAGCCACGCAGATCATGCTCGAAGAGCTCGCCGATTCCTATGGGACGACGTGGACCACCACGCTCATCAACATCATGACCAACGAGCAGAAGAAGGAGTGGTTCCTCCGCCTGAACCCCAACGGCCGGATCCCCGTGCTCGTCGACAACGGGCAATCCCCTCCCTTCCCCGTCATCGAGACGAGTGCCCAACTGTTGTACCTGCTGAAGTTTGTGGATAAAGAGGACAAGTTTGGCTTCAAAGATGAACTCGAGCGAAACGTGGTGTTGCAGTGGATGTTCTTCTGGCACGGTGGAGGTGCCCCGTACCAGGGACAAGTGAACCACTTTTCGAGGGCTGCGCCTGAGAAGATTCCCTGTAAGTGACATCGTACATCCCTCCTGGTAGAGAAGACATCTTATCAGAATGTTCGTGCTGACGTAAAAACTTGAAAGACGCCATCAACCGGTACAAGAACGAGACCCTCCGCGTCTACGGTGTGCTGGAAATCCGCCTCTCAGGCCAGTTCACCGGTGAACCGCGCGACTACCTGGCCGGTCCCGGCAAAGGCAAATACACCGTGGCGGACATCAAGACATGGCCGTGGGTGAAAGGGTGGGAGCGAAGTGGATTCACCCAGGACGAGATGAAACCCTTCCCGCACCTTCTCAAGTGGATCGACCGGATTGCGGCGAGACCAGCGGTCCAGAGGGGCATTGGCGACAAATACGTGCAGAAGTAAGTCCAATGAATCAGCCGTGTCCCTCTAAGAAATGGAGAAAACATGGGGCTTTTTTTTACCCCTGCTCCTTAAACTTGTCGACGAGGATACTACTACATCGTCGATTGTGCAAGAAGAGAGGAGCACGGTAGCCATCCATGTACGGGGCAATATAGATGCTACGAAAGGGGGAAAAAGATGAAAATGTCTTATCTATTCCATCCCAAAAGCACTATGTTTTCCAAGGAGCTTGCCACCAGATATAATGAATTGCCACCTCTTTTTCTCCATCGTTTGCAGTCAAGACTCATGTAGATCGAACTCCCCCTCCCTGTCTTTTCACCCATGGCTTTGCGCATACACATTTCTTTCATTTGTTGCTGTTTCCGCAATTTCATCTCCGCTGACCTCGTCCCTGTACCCCTTCCCTCGGGGAGGGAGTGCTGTCGTCCCAGATCGAGGCTGTGAGACTGTGAGACTCTGAAACTCTGAGATTCTGAGTAGTACATAATGATAACACGTATGAACTCCCGTCTTTTCCGAAACAAATGGTTTTTTTTTCTTTCGTCTTTGAATCCCATCTTTTCAATTCACCCCCTTTACCCCATTGTTAGGGAAGGGGGGGGAGTATCTTGTCACTTTCTTCATGTTGTTCTTGTCCTTGTCATGTCATGTCATGTCTCTTCACGAATCGCGAGGGGGAGGAGACTGCAGCAGCAAGAATGAAATATACCCAATCCACATCAACGAGAAAGTCACCTCCAGACTGTGCGTTTCGGGTCTCATGTCGGTATGTTTCTGGATCTAATCCTTGAACCTCTCCATGACGTCTTCGAGATACTTGCGCAACTCGGCTTTCCTCTCGTCGCTGCACCAGCTCCCCTCGATGGCGTTGCCGGCGATGGTTTTCCACTCGCTCTTATCCAGCGCAAAGGCGTCTTGTACGGCGCAGTGGTTGTCGAGGATGTACCCGCCAAAATAGGCCGGGTCGTCACTATTGATACTGAAGCGGACGTTGTTGTCGAGGTAGGTGCGGACGGGCAGGTCTGCGACGCGCGAGACGCAGCGCAGCTCGACGTTGGAGAGCGGGCACAGGGTGACCATGACGGCGCGGCGGGCGAAGAGGGCCATGACGTCGGCGTCCTCGGGGAGTTTGATGCCGTGGTCGACGCGCGTCACGGCGAGGTGCTCCAGCGCCGCCGCCATGTAGTCGACGCCGGCCTCCTCGCCCGCGTGGGCCGTGCGGTTGAACCCGCGCCGCGCGGCGTCGGCGTAGATGTCTCTGAACAAGTGCGGCGGTTTGCCCTTTTCGGTCGACGACAGGCCCAATCCCCTCACGACGCCCTTCTCCAGGTGCGGGATCGCGTCGCGATACATGCGCGCCCCGTCCTCGACGGGCAGGTGCCGCAGCACGCACACGATCAATTCCGAAGTGACGCCAAAGTCGGCGCGGGCGCGGGCCTGCGCCGCCGTGAACCCCTCGACCACGTCCGCGTACGCGACCCCGCGCGCCGTGTGCGCCTGCGGGTCGAAAAACACCTCGGCGTGCACGACGCCGTCGCCGTGCGCCCGCCGAAAGTACTCGTACGCCAGGGCCTCAAAGTCCGCGGCCGTCACCAGCACGGACATGCCGATGAAGTAGTAGTGCAGGAAGTCGTCGAGCGAGGTGAACCGCCGGTAGCGGGCGAGCAGTGTGTCAACGGATGTGAATGACGGGTCTTCATCCGCCGAGGGGAGCGAGATGTTGTTCCGGACCGCCAGGTCGAAGAGGAGCGCGGGTTCGAGGGAGCCTGTTTGGTCGGAGAGAGGGACAGTTAGCTAGTCAGTCACTCCAAATGTGCTATAGCAAGGAAAACCCTCCCCCCATTGTTCTCCCAGCTCACTGCTTGTGATCAAAGGGAAGGGGATGTGTCGACTCACCTTCGAGATGCATGTGGTGCTCGCACTTGGGCAGAGCCTGGAGGAACTCGTGCATATGTCCTTGACACATTTTGTATGCTGGATATTGTGTTTATTTCAGACCTCGGGGGATTTGATGGTAGTCGTGGTATTGTGTGCACAGGTACGGGGACAAATAGAGAGAACAAGGCTGAGAAATCCCTCTCGCCTCTGTCCTCCTTTTCTGCCCTTGTCTTTTCCTCGGCAGCCTCGTTTCCCTCTAGCTGGATAGTACAAGAGAAAATGTCAAAGGCTGTCTTCAACTGGCTTGGCCTGGCCTGGCCTCCCTCCCTGAATCTGTAAAAAGGGTCCAGAAGATTCCCAGATTGCCGACTCTGGGAATAGCTATAGCAAAGGTTAAAGAAGAACGATCCTTTTTTCCTTTAGTCGGTTGCCCCAAACAAAGCAGAAATTAGCGAGAAAAGGTTAAAACAAAGGAAGAAGTATATCGATGGCAGTATAGTAGTATGGCAATAATGGTAGTGTAACAGCCGCCTTAATCATTATTTTTTTTTATCGAGTCTGGAGCTGCGACATGCATCATATCGGTGACCTCCGATCAACTGCTCCAACCATGGTGACCGCACCCTGTTAGCGTCCGCTTATTGAGATTTGGTTGGTTTTTTTTTTCCTTCATCGACTTTTTCCTCCCTCCATTTTGCCTCTCTTTCGCGGTTTTTTTCTCTCTCGGGAGTATGATCCTCAGCACCCGACTGGTGCATACGTAGTGACTGGCTCGCTGGGTAGCTGGATAGCTGCGTCGGTGGTGCCTGAGTACTGGGTGCTTAGGCAGTTGTGGCTCGCTAGGCTAGCAGGCTGGCAGCTGGCTTGGTGGGTGGGTAGGTGAGTAGCGACAAGAGAAAATGACGTAGGGGCGGGCGAGGCGGGTCAGCTTGGAGAATGCTTATCGAGACCTGCTTGTCTGGTGTCTACTGAGAGATAGATAATAGATACTTCGTAGATGCGGAGCAGATATGGACATAGATAGCGAGGTATTATGCATCATATCCATACCTACCTAGGTATATAAATGACTCGACAACGAAACACCTAATTGTCATTCACGGGTTAATCCTAGAGGGTGAGCAAAGGCTGTGTTGAGTTGGGCTTTTATCCGAGCCTTTTAGCTGGACGAACCTGAGCGCTCCCAAAGCACCCCTTGATACATATATCGCGCCCTAATCAGTCAAAGGCGCCCCAAAACTTTGCTCCTAAATGCAATGGACCCACCGTTTAACAATCACCGACCTCGTCGACCTCTTCTGCTCCGCTTGGACGGTCCAGCCAAGGTCAGATTGTCGGCGTCGAAGGATAGCCCCGTGTTAACGCTCCGCAAATGGGGAGGGTCTGTCTCTCCAGGCCCCGGGCTGTGGTCGATGCTGAGTGTGGACGGTTGTGCATCCATGAGGTCCCGCTTGCGCTTCGCTCCAGACTCTCTCAAGTGATCCAACCCAGCAACCATCTGGAAGGTTTCTTTCAGGATGGGATATAGATGTGGCAACGCGTAGTCTAACAACACACTCTTTACCATGTGACAGGCGACATCGCGGCTGTAATTTCGAACTCTGGCCACTTCCGTGAAGTGGTAACTGAGACGATCATCGGTGGTTTGTTCGGCGCGATGCATTCTCAACACCATGTCTTCGTTATTGAGAACTATGCTGAACGTCCGAACATCGTTGAAAAACTTCTCCCGGAGCTGGGGAGCTTGGCGCATCCACTGGAAGATGTTAAAGAGCGCCTGGCTGGTGCTGTACAGATTCTTCTCGAATGCGGCACGGAGCGAGCTATCCTCCCTTTTGGCTTCCATGAAGAGGAATGGAAACCATCGCTCACGTCCTCTCTTGCCCGGGTGCAGGCAACTCCCGAGCTCGATGGGATACTCGAGAAGTATCGATTCTATGAAGACGTCTCGATGAAACGATATGGCAAGGTCGGGTTTCGGCTGCGTGATCTTGCTGCTGTCCTTTGTTGCTTTTATCAGAAGCTTCTTTTCAATGCGCCATTGTTCCTCGCAGCTGAAGGTGAAAACACCGCGAAAATCGAGGCGATCTATAATGGAGATCATGATGGTTCTGTGGAAATCGGCCTCGCTCGAAGTAGAGCATTGTAATTGATCCCATGCAAAGTCCCGGGCAGACATTGGAGGAAACCGTCTGTATTCCTCGGCGTCAGGCCTCCAGTGACTTATATCATGCCTTAAAGCATCGTAAACGGGGAGGCCATTCTCGGAAGGCCGATCCTTGACTGACTTCCTGAAATTCTTGAGGTAGTCTTCCAGCACTCTGACTAGACTTTCAAATTTCTCGAATTCGACGTGCGAAGGCGTCGCATCGACAATCTTGTCTAGACCGAGTTCTTGAAGCTTATCGTCACCTGAAGATTTATCTGTGATGCCTCGGAATTCCAAATGTTCCATGAAATCGATATGTCGGACCGTGCTAGCCTTCGCAGTTGTTGTATTTTCAGTAGTGACACTGGTGCTAGTGAGGTGTGAGCTGGAAGATTCCATGTCTCCGGAGTCTGAGACGGATGCAGTATGTGAATCAACGTGTCTCTCCGTGAAATCGTGCGAAGTCTGTGCTGTGTCGGGGCTGACCAAGTTTAGCCAGGTTGAGACGTTGTCCTATCGTCTGTCAGCTCCATTACCACATCAAGATCGCATGTTGTCTCACTCGTTTCTCTGTGTCAGTCGCCTGCTCCAACCCTGTTCCAGGACGGCTCAAGGAAATAGGAAGCTCCCTCGGTCGAAGCTGAACTTTTGGTAACTGACGTGCCGCCGGAGACTGATACTTTTGTGACGGCAAGTCGCGAGCGTCGAGTCCGCCCAAAAACTGAAGCGGATCTTTGTTCTTGCTCTTGCTTGACCGAGTTTGGCGTGTATTCGACGTCACCGGTGGCTGCAGAGTCGTCTTCGCGGATCGCTTGTCCTTCGATGGCGGCGGCAACGAGGAACTCGACCTGAATCTCGACCTTGTTGGAGGCTTTGAGATTTTTCGCGAACGGTATTTGCGCGAGACATCTTCAAGGTCCCCGACAGTGAAATTCTTGACACTCAGCCCATGAAGTTTGGCAAAGGCTCTGGTGTGAGGTCGCTGATCAGAAGCTGGGCCCTGTCGCTGGCCGCAAAAGTCAGAAGAGGGATTACTCCCCCAAAGATGATTGCTATGGCTTGGACTAACCTTCATGCGTTGATCGTCCTTGCTCTTTGCGGACGGCATGCAAGGCTCTCAAATGTCTGATGTTTGTCAGATGCATTGCCTGTATCACTGAAGAAGAGATGCGCAGCCAGTGGAAGGACACCACTACACAAAGGAGATGGTCATGGAGGGTTGCAGGATATGGCGTGGCACGGTGCGCCAGTCTATAGATACATGTGAATTTGTTGCTAGAGGCGCTGCCCATCAGGAGGTTCAATGAAGTGGTTGGATAGAAGAAGGGCCTCGTGACGAGAGCGGGGTAGCAATCACAGTCGTTGTTTAGGCGCCGGATACACGAGCTGACAATGTGTGCGTCTCACCCTGGGTATACACATCTTTTCCAACATCTTTCAAACCTGTACACCTGGCGCGTCCAGTAACAGGTTCTGTCTCACATCAGCTCTGTACAATTGGTCTAAGGCCAAGGTATGAACTGATGGGGGTGTTTAGTTTCCACTAGCCACGGACCGTACCATCCCCGGGGAAGCCTGCGCATAGGAAATTCGGTGCCATCCACGGCGGCAGAGGCATGCATCTGACTGACGAATAGTCCATCGGACTTGACTCCTGGCCTATCCTCAGATGTCGAATTGGGCACCTTTCGACTTTAACAAATTGCCCTGGCTGCCACCAATCCAGAGAGCTGCTCCCCTCTTCCACTACGAGCCTGGGTTGAGGTGGTTCTCCCTGCACCCCGGATTGTTGCCGATCAGTCCCATCTAAAACACCCAAATCCAAGTCTTGCATAAGATCAAGCTGTACAGATACAACGACTCGCTAGGTATCACGTATCCAAATTCACACAGACCACCCATCCATCCATCTCATCGTCATGTCATGTCATGTCATGAATCGTTCGAGTCTCGCGTGTGGCGAGTATATGAGTTTCCCAACCCAACGCCCTTAGCTCTGGCATCAACTACTGCCTCGAGGCAGCGGCCCATGCCTTCTAGGTCGCCCATAATGCCCACATGTCCTCGATCACTCTCCACTCGGCCCCCCTTGACGCAACGATATCCTTCTGGTAGTTGTGCTGCACTCGCAAGGACTACTCCATCTCCTGCCGCAAACGCTAGATCGTCGAATGCATCCGTATACTTTATCGCCTCCTTATTAGTGACCCTGGCTCCGTACACGGTGGGCACCGTCTTGCCAAAGATGAACGCGTGCGGCGGGTAAAGATTATTTTCCTGGTGGCTGGGGTTGAACTTCAGCTGCTGTTTAAACACCGACACCTCCGCCAGCGTACGATCAAGATAGTCCTCCGCAAGGTCTTTGGGAATCGTTACCGCAGTTGCGATACTGCCTCGGTGATGAGACTGTTTCATTGACGGTCCAACCATTCCTTCTGCATTGCCTTCTATGTCTTGACCCGCCTCCAGTGCCTTGTCGACAGCATGCTGGCGCGCTTCTTCTAGACCATCTCTGGTATCGGTTTGCTGCGAGGTTTGGCTTTGGGGACCTTGTCCTACAAGCCAGGAAGTACGTTTGCTGGGCCCTGAAATGCTTTCCGAAAGAGCTCCGATGATGCTCTTCCTACGATCACGATCTTCCTTTTCCCGGTAGCTGCGTGGTATCGGTGGGTTGATGCAGGGAGACAGGTGGTATTCCTCCCAGACGTGGGGATCAAAGAAGTCCAGGTCATACCGTTTATTGGTGTGCTTCTGGATGAAGCACCGGCCGTCCTCCGGAAGAAGGGCGTAGCTGGTTCGGAGCGTGAAATTGACCTGGGCTGTGAGAACTCTGGAGCTCAAAAGGACATCGTCCCCGTTCCGCAAAGGTCCCAAAATATTGACACAGTGCTGCGGCACACCAGCGTAAACCACACCCGCAAACAGATCTGGACGTTGGTTGACCGCATGTCGTGTGATCAGCCCCCCAAGACTGTGGGCGATAACCGTGGCCCCTCGCTTCTCGTGAGGCGTCTCTGGATGGTTGCACTCCAGCGATTCCAAGAACTTGATCAACTTTCCACTAAGCAGATCAGGAGAGAGCCGCCAATCATAACCCCAGTCGTGCACTCGGAGTCTGTTCTCACGTGTGTTGGGGCATTTCTTCATATGTTTAAGCAACCTTCGGCAAATGTCAATAGGACCAATATGCGAAAGAATGCCGGACGGGATGACGGTCTGCTCCATGCGCTCTTCATCTTCGCGAGTCAACCCAACCTCCAAATCTACCTTACGCATGTTTAGTCCGACTTTGATAGGAACCCAGAGTTGTCGATGAGGAGGCTGTGCTGATCTCAAGATTGATCCCCTATACCCACCCAGAATAACAATGTCGCCTGTAGTCTTCGAGAGGGCACGTGACAGTATTGGATGCGCTCGCTGCTGCGGAGTTTCCACCTCGACGCCCTTTGCTGCAATCCGCATCTTCTGGACCGATCCGTACTGGTAAACCCGGTCTTGTCCATCGCCACTGCCTCCATCCACTCCCCGAGGGATCTCTCCGTTGAACTGGGCAGGCGACGTGCGTCGTTTCGCTACTTGTCGAAGCGCGGGCAGCCGAGGCAATCTGAGGGACGAATTTTGGAAACTGTCTGTTATGGCTTTGAATCGAGAATTGGCCATATCAGTAACATGAGAAAATGCGCTGATGTCGTCGTACGCCGATACACCCGAAACCCTTCGCCGGATGTATATCGATCCTTCAGAGTTGGAACGTGCCCGGCTAGTGTTTGATGCTGGACTGGTTGGAGAGAGTAACGATTCCACATTACCGTCTAGTTGACTCCGAGCCACAGGGCTGGGGTCGAGGGCTGACACCGGTGGCTGCATGTTGCGATATGTGTCGCCAGTACTACGTCTTTGAAGTGGTTCGCGAAGAGACCATCTGAATGGTTTATTGGTTGGTGTGATCTGACCGCCAGCTGGACTCTGTTGGCCAGAGTTCCCGCTGCTCGGCGGCAAAAAGGCAAGAGAGATGGAACTCATATTAAAATTCCCATATGGAAGCTCCGGTAACAGCTTTCGCAGGTTGGAAAGTAAGTTCGTTGGAGCCGATGAGAGACTGCGCCGTCGCTCACTTCCAGCTCCGCTCAAAATATTCTTGCTTAGGGACGATCTGTGAGCGTGCGGCGACTCGGGGCCTTCTTCGAGGTTGTTAATGCGTGACACGTCGTTCTCGTAACTTCGTGTGTGCCGGGGAATTTGATCGTCATCAGGCGGCGTGGGTGGTCTACGGTTCGGGTGCGGCGGGGGTGGATGCTCGTAGAGTGGCCTCGCAGGCTCATCTGCATCTTCTACCTTCGATTCCTGTGGAGACTGTGTCTTGATACAGGGGATATCTGGTTCACTGACGAAATGACTGGAATGTCGCTCATGCTGATCGGCCAAAATCGAATCGTGCGTACAGGCTCTCGTTCTGCTATTCTGGCGTAAGGCGGATGGTTCGGCACCACTCTGGTAGAGCGCAGGTGGCCTCAGGTTAGCGTTCGGTGTGCTGGGCTGGGTATCATTTGCTGCATCGCTGTAGTCGTCGTCTTCAGAATCTTCTGACAGTGCTAGAATTCTGCGGAAATAGTCGACCGGTAGATTGAGAGCCTTAGCCTTCTCAGCCACAGGGGTTTGTGGAGATCTCATCTGTGTTTGGACCCGACTCATACTGACGCCGATCATGTCATCGTCATACAGGTTTTCCGTGTCGAGTCTAGGGTTTGTTTGGCCACTGCCGCCAGCAAGGGTTTCAATGTCGACCAAACCCCCGAAGCCATCTGTCAATGGGGACCATTCTTCCTCGGGGCCGTGAGCGGAAATGAGGTCGACCGTCCCTGGAGCACGGGCTGATTCCATCATCGGGCGGAGGATTCATGAAGGCATGTAAGTTGTAAGTGGGTGGATTAATTCGGATGGTTGCAGTTCCTCGAGTATGCGTTGCGCAATAGAACGGAGAGGAGAGATCGAGTAATATAATAATGCTGATGAGCCCGGGAGTACTACCAAGTTAGAGCTGAGATATAGTGCTTATTATGGTCAGGGAATTCGGAGCGATAGAGGTTGACTGAAGAAGATTTGGGATTGAGGTAACACTGGGCTGCTGGGCTAGGTAAGATGATGAAAGCCGACCAGGCGAAGCAAGGATTACTCCAATAGAGAGACGGAGAGTGGTTGGCTGGAGAGGTGGCCAAAACGCTTAGGTTGCAGAGCGAAGCCACTGAGGTCGAGGGAGAGTCAAGATCCGGGTTTCGTAGCCGAGCATAGATGACAACGATGTTTGATAAGCGAGCAGCGGCTGTAATAAAATAGTTTCAGGGGATTAAGGATGAGTCTTACACCGCAGAGATGAGGATGAAGGAAGCATTGAAGAAGGAATTAAGCTGCGCAGAGGGATTTTTCCACCTGCAAAAGAGGCTGAGGGGGATTCGAGACCTCACCGGGAAGGAGCGGATCGACCCCATTGTTGATGCAATCAAGGGCCAAACCAGTATTTTCACCATCAGACAGCCATCGGCTATGTGCCGGGGCACGCTATTCCATGTACTTCATGGTGTTCGTGAAAACAGGATCCCAATGAAGCAAAGGATACGTACGAGGTACACAAATCCAACTATGCGCATGGTATATTAATTGTGCACCATGGACCTCCAGACCCCTCAGCTCTCCGCCTCTTGCACTTTCCCATGTCAGATGCCAAGCCATAGACTAGCCTAGACGCTTAGTCACCGACTGGACCCACAGACTCTAAATTCTAATTGAAAGCTTGTTTTTCCATGCGCCAGACTCGGCAAGACTCCAAGCAACTGGGAACTTCTCTTCTCCTGTGTAAGACACCTACGGTACTCCCTCGTTTGGGACGCTTGGAGCCAGCATTATGAAATGACTGAACTCTGCTATTGTCACACGCATGGTCAACCACTACTTGACGTGTACTTGTGATTCGAGATCAAACAACCGCTATTCTACGGCAAGTGAAACACAACCCTCAGTGACCCTTTCTGGCACCAGTCATTCGCCTTCAAAGGCATGCTCCAGACCACAGAATGCACTGCGGGGGCAAAGATTCACAACGAAGTGCCATACAGAGTCATTGATCAAGAGGGTTGGGTCATTGTTGATCCCAGTGACTGAAGAAGGCAATCGGTAGGTGGGACATTCTGAGTAACTCTGTCATATAATCCGCCTCTTATACCTTATATGCGATGGCTTCGCTTTCCTGTCAAGCAGCCACCGGGATTGATGCCCTTGACCACTTCTCAGAAAGATGTCGGCACAAGTCCCACGACCTCGTCGGATTGGCGGCAAGAGTCATTCAAGCGCTTGGTTTGGCCTCGCTAAGCTGTGCATGCACGACGAATACATGCGAGTCGAAGCCATTCGGAGGAGCAGACGAGATCGGGCACGAGCCACAATACTCGCTGCTGCTGCACCCGAGGCTGCCACTGCCAGTGCCTCTGGTGGTGATCGAGAGGTGGCCGAGGCCGAGGAGGATAAGGATATCGCAGACGACGAAAGACCACATGAAGGGGAGGATCAAGGAAACATCGAAGAAGTAGAGAATGAGGCCGCTATTGACACCGCAAATATTGGTGGGGTAAGTGGGGACATCCTCTTCGAAGGCCGCGAATCTATTAATATCAATGATGACCCGGAAAATGCGGCCGCCTCTCAAGCACAGTCCAAAGCCCATTCTGTCAAAGCCAGCATCACGAGATCTCATGCTGGTTCCAATGACACCGCGGGCAATGGTGAAGCTCAACAGAACGAGCCCTCGCCCCAACCTTCAAAAGCGCCGTCAGCAGTGACCCGAAACAGCTCAGGAGCTAGTCCCGCCAATGTTTCACCAGAGACCGCCCAAGAACTGCAACGTGCTCCTTCAACACGCCGTATGTCAGCGGTGTCCTCACTACGTTCTGGGAGATCTAGAACTACGGTTGGTCGGCAGACTATCGACGTGGAAGTTCGAAAAGCCCGCCGAATCTCATCGCCACGCCCATCAACGGTGTGTTCCAACAAAACGGGGAATCCTCCTGCCGTCAGTGGACATCACAGTACTATCTCCGCTCGACAAGAGAGTGAGCATCGCAGCTCACCACGTTTGTCAAGAGCTGCTTCGCCCACTTCTCGCATCGCAGAATGGCGTGCACGTACAGTGGATTCACAAGATCCGGGGGACGAGACCGCATTTGGACGCCCTTTTCGACCAGCTTGCCCTTCCGTCCCGGCCAGCATATCGCCCTCCACATCCAGCAGGCTTAGTCAAACAACTACTCTTACTTCTATCTCGCGAAGGCCACAAGGCCATACCTCTGCTCCCGTGTTAGCCTGTGTTGAACAAGCCACATCGAGCGCTCAGCAAGTGGCTCAGACACCCACGGGGGCCGAGGATCAAGCAGCACTGAGAGTACAGACTTGGAACTGGGCTGAGTCACAGCCTCACAGCCTGGAATATCATGCCACGCACAGATATGAACAGTCTGCTCAGCACTCGATTGCGCCACATATGGTGCAACGACAGCACCAGACATGTTCGCCTGCTCCCAACTTCTACCTAGGTACCCAGATCGAATATCCAGCCGAACCACACTCAGCTGGCAGCGACTGGGCCCTGTCTGCACAACGCAATTATGCTTCTCAACCTCAGCCTCAACTCTACCTCCCATGTCCCAACCCATACCAGCATCGATGGTCGCCATCTTACACTCCAAGACATCCTGGAGGACAGGGTACTCTTGTACTCTATGGCGGCAGCCACCATTATCTAACTGTTGCGATTCCATGTTCTTATCCTCAACCACCTTCAATCGCTCCGCCGTATGGGGAGACACCACGCCAATCATAGTCGCTGGGCAAGCATGCCTAACCCATCCCGAGACCAGGAATTTATTTACTTTTGCTTTCTACCAATCAACCCGAATACAAGACTTGAACTGGAAAGGGGTGCGAAAAGACGCCTGAAGGAGTAAAACTCACGCGACGGTAGACCTTCCTGCTTCCAAGTATCAGGCACCATGTACTAGGTACTAGAACCTCTCCTGCTCAAAACCCGACGGATGAATTGAACAGCGGAGCGCGGGGCACATACAAAAAGCACGAGCGCGAGACTCGGTCGGTGGTCAGTGGTCGGTGGTGCGGGGCATTTTATTTTTCTAAAGTGAGAGAGATGTTGAGGAGGTTTTGTTCAGCCTGGTTTCTCTACTTCCCACTACTAAGTAGTAAGCTGAAATGGGATCTGTCCATGTCAACTTGACTCGACTCGACTGTACTGGACTGGATAAGGGATGGGGTTCAAAGGAAGGCTGAGGGACATCTGCCATGGCAATATTTGAACCGTGTAGTCAGGGCCCAGTCAGAGCAAGGCGAAGAATATACCAGGTACAAGTACAGCAGGCAGGTAGAAATAACGACACGAATGGGAGAGCGCTCTTCTTCATCTTTCACGGTGTAATATGTCCATGCGTTCCTCGTTCCTCGATCCTTGACTGTGGCCAGAGGAGCAGGAAAGATATGCGCTGTCAAGAAGCTAAGCAGCCAAGCTATACTTGCCACTTATCGTCATGTAGAGCAAAGGCTAAGAGTCATGCTCGTATCTAGCCTGGTCTTTTAAGTCTCCTCAAAAATTTGTACTCTACCTTTGGTCCTCCTCTCTCCCGTTGCCGTCCCAGGACTCAGAAAGACGTGGGCGACTCGCTCAGTGACATGAACCGACTGTGAGATTCCACTGGGATGCTCGTTTCCGTCCCTGAACAACAAATGTGTCTTCCAGCCGCAATCCTTCTACACGGTTGGCTTGACAAAGAGGACTTTCGGGCACCAGCTGAACGAGTTCCTTGATCCGAAAGGGGGTAGCTCTGGTGTCAAGGGTGTAAACGCTCTCTGCCGAATTGCAGTAGCGTTTCTCAGTATGTAGTTGAGTTGTTAAGTTTCCAAATCCGTTCAATCAGTCATTAGTATCGTCCTCACTCTCAATCCCGACATAGATAGTATCCAGCCACAGCATCAAGCCATATCATGGGACGGAAGCCTGATGTTTCCGCAGCAACGTCATAAGCACACAGTCGTCTCTGGAAGTAGAGGTCCAGCGCCGCGGCGTTAGGTTATTGGTTCATGCGCGGGCGTTTCGCGTCCGGGCCTGCCCCGTTCTGAACAGCACGTTCCTCGCGTATCCGAATTGCCTCAGTCCCGTCGTCAACAAGGGTTTCCCTGAACCAAGGGTGTTTGAGGGCCTCTTTCGCCGTGATCCTATTTTTTGGGTCATAAACAAAAATCTTTCTCAGCAGGTCGAGAAGGTGTCGGTTGAAAGGGTTGGTTGCTGGTATGAATTCCTGTGCGAATCACTGTCAGTATAATCTCACAAAGACGAATGCACAGAAACGTACATGGAGATGCTTCATCGCCTTGACGTATTTCCTTGAAGCCTTTGAAGTCTCATTGTTGGGATATTCCAGCTTCCCCCGGTTGAAGTACTTTGCAGCGGAGTTTGCGTTGGCGCCGCGACCACCCGAGCATACTTGCTTGACAAGTTTTGCGTCAATCTTGCCATTACATACAGCTTCCATCATGGCCAAATGCTCGAGATTATCGTGCGTTTGGAACAGTGCATCACCTGTGAAGAATTCCACAATGATACACCCTATGCTCCAAATGTCGCAGGGGAAACTCCATCCCAGCTGCAGAATAATCTCAGGTGCTCTGTAATGTCGTGTTGATACCACAGAGGAATGATATTCGTCATCGAAGGTGGCTGAACCAAAGTCTATTAAACGAATTTCACTGTCCAGAAGGACTCTGCGCTGTCGAGCAGTTCTGGATGTCGTGTGGGACGACGAAGGTATCGAGCGATTGTAGGTAAACGTCTGGTAGGCATTGTGAACCAGTAGTATGTTTTCAGGTTTGAGATCTGTGTGAATGAGGTTGAGGTCGTGCAGAACTGCAAAAATTTAGTGCTGGCATTCAATTAACAGGGGTGTGTGACTTACAGGCAACACTGGTAAACAACTGACGAGCAAAGCTCTGGATCTGCGAACTAGGGAATGGAACAAAGCCATTTCCTTTCAAAAAATCGAAGACACTCTGTCCCAGGAGGTCCGTGACTATACAAATGTGGTTCCGGAAGTCGAACGAGTCCCGTAGATGGATACACTTGTTGCGGTTGGTTTTGTCGTTCAGAGCAAGTGTAGAAAGAACGCGCAGCTCGATCCGAGAAGCATCGCGATACTTCTGCACGGATCGAATGATTTTAACAGCGCATCTTGTCTTCTTTCGTGAATCAAACGCCTCGACCACTTTGCCAAATGTGCCTTGCCCGAGAAGCTTGATAATCTCATCTATCAAAATTTGTTAGAAAAAGTCGATATCACGGGGAAATAATGATACTCACATCGGTCAGCAAGTTTCGTGCCAGGCGTCACAATGTAATGGCCGTCGTCATCATCCACCTTCAGATTTTTATGCCTTTCTGTGTCACGTATTACTGGGACGTGAACATCGGCAGCTTTGCGTACAGGTTTTTGAGGGGGGACATAGTCTGCAAAAGCATCTGGTGCGGACTCTTGTTGCTTTCTTTTTGCCGCTTGTGCACGGGTCTCTTTTTGGGTTGTGGTTCTTTTCCGCTTTTGTCCTACTCTGACATCTTCATAACTGTTGCTAGCAGTATTGCTGCCATACGATTCGAGCGAAGTTGGGGCAGTAACTGTCTGGAGGGAAGTGGTTCGGTCAGCGGAATGATAAGAGGCGGACGACGATGATGCCCCAAATTTAGCCGGGTGCGTCGAATATGTCGGACTGTCTGTATATTCAATGTCATAGCCCTCATCAACTTTTCTTTTCCGGCCTGCATTCGAATTGTATCCGCCAACATCTTCTCTCTGTTGTCTTTTCGAAGCGTCTCCTGGGCCCTGGGGATCGGGACTGTCGTCGTCTATGACGATGATTTCTTTTGGAACTCCGTTCTTGTAAAATTCATTCCAGTCCGGTTGTCTTCTTAGGTGAGCATCGGACAGGGTTGACGTCGACTGAGACGGAGGCATTGTGGAAACGTTTGACGGCCCTCTGTATGAGATCGCTGGGGATTCTTGCGGTCGCTGGTACTGAGCGGCACCGGGGTAGGAATGAAACGCAGTGTTCAACCGCTGGGATGCAGGTAGCGTGTTGTTGGTGGGGTAGGGAAGGGTACTCGGTGAATATAGATTTTGATGAGCATAACCATATTGGCTATGGTGAGCAGGCAAGAGTGTGGTTGCTATCGAGGGTGTAGACATGGTGTTTTGTGCCCGTTTTTGGTGGGAGTGGCTCGACAACCCAGATGGTGTCGATTGCAAAGAGCAACATGCGAGGGTCGGGAGGGGTTGATGGTGGTATGTGCGGTCTCGAAACTCGACTGAGGCGTTAATAAGGGACACAGGTCGATGGGAGATGATGGGATAGAGTCAAAGGAGAGAGGTAGAACGTCAGAAGGTCGTTGTCGAGGCGGAGTTCGAGGATCGGGTGAAAACGTGGAGACGGACAACTTCAGGCGGGAAACGCCTACCGCAGTTGATCCACGCCCATGTTCGTTGTGTTCAAGCGGACGATAGGGAAGGCCGAGGGAAAACGGACTTAGGTAGATGACGAAGAATAAAATTGATGTCAGTCGGGTTGAGAGAAAACCAGAGGGTAGAGGACGACGATGATGTCGACTGAGGTGAAGTGAGGTTTGCACTTTGACGGCTGCCCAGTGATCCAGTTTGCCATTAGCCAGGCTTAAGCCAGGCCAGTCGTAGCGCACTTCAGGTTGCAGGGCGAGCACACACGAAAGGGTTCAATTCTGTTTCTGGGCATCGACATGGAGAACTGCGTCTAGTTAGCCGGCCGAATCATCAGTGGCCACTGCCCACAGGTGAATGATACCACCCTTTCCAAAGCCCCAACACCCGGGCACCTCAGGGCTGTGATCTTAACCAGAACAACGCACGGCACCGCCCACCAACGTCCTCCGCAGGATGCACCAGCCAGACCCTGAACGTGGCTATTATTCTATTACTGAGTGCAACACGTCACAAAGTAGGAATGCTGAGTATCTTCTCTTCCTTTTACTATGT